AGCGCGCGCGCGCGAGTTAAAAAGCCGAGATGGGCGGACGAAAAATGACTTTAATGCAATTTCTTCGCGTCTCCTCCGTTCACCAGCGCAAGAGCCTCGTACACGGTGTAAGTAAAATTCGCAATTAAGTTCAACTGCTTAAAAAACCTACTCTACCATACGCTGAACCTTGACCGCGATTCCTACTGTACACCCACTGATACACGCGCTACGTAAAAACCGAGTTTCTGCCGAGCCGAGCTTTTCACCGAGCTGCCGGATTCATTTACCTGAATTCTAAATTACTACCAGAAAGCGCTAATGATTACTGGCAAACAATTACGTATATGTACAGTGCACACTCGTCGATGACAACGAGAACGCAACGCATGCGTTTTGCTAATTAGGACGCCATATCGTGCGAACGAAATCACATCACGATCGCGCGACGGCAAGCGTGTGCAACAATTTTAGCGAGCGTGAAAGAGAGGCGATGAAAGTGTTACAAAGAAAACCTCGTAAATCCTCGCTGACACAATGATATGAACGGAGCGCACTTTAGTTCGACAATTTATATCGGAATTCGTAACGTAACGTATGCGCAACTTGACGGCAACCCGGGAATCGGTTGAAAACTCTCTTAAAATCCTCTGCAGCGAACGGTGGGACAGCAGGGGTAAATGGGCGAGGGAGAGTATCATAAGCGAGGTCAAGTACCGATGACGCGTTCCGTTGACATATTTTCGCCGCGGTCTTTCGCATAATTCTGTAAAAATATACAGAGCAAGTGGTGGTGAAGTGCCGGAGGAGTGTCCTTCGAGTAGCAAAGAAAGCCGCCGTGCGCGGTATAACTTGGCAAGGCAACGAACCTTCCAACTATCCTCATCCTCTTCGAACGTCACCACCACCTCTCGTGCCACGACCTGCTCCTCCTCGTCTTTTCGTCGACTTAGCCGGTAGTTCTCTACCTACATACCTATACGCCGGGCAGGTGAGAGAGAGACGGCACCATTTCTATAGGCATTCATCATTCACTCCTCGCTCAACGTTCCTCTTTCTCTTACTATTTCTCTTTCTCCGTCCCATTCTCATTCTCCCGACCCCCTCTGTCTCGTACTTTTTACTCTCTTGCTCGCACCCTCTAACGCTTCCTTTCCACAACCCCCTATGCTCCCACGTTCCACCCGTCTCGCCCCCTCGCCCACTTTCTTCGCTCTTCACCCTCGCGTCATCTCGCTCATCCTCTCCCCGTCTTACCCTTGCCCATGCCGTTCTTCGTCTTCCTCCCACAACCCTTTCCCGCGACTCCTGACGTTACACAGCCACGATGCGTATTAATGGTAATCTCCCGGTCTTTCAACCGAATATAGCGGTTTTTCCGCGGCACTAGATTTCGGTAACTGACTTTTGATCGCGTGGAAATCACAGTTGGGAAGACAGAAGAGATAAGATTAAAGAGGAGGAAACTTAGCACGTTGACAAAAATAATGGAATACGAAGAAGGTTCGTATAAACTTTTTCCGAATGACGAGTATTCCTATAACACACATTGCCAACATTTTTGAACGAGTTCCTCGTCTCGCTGTTTAATTACATGCACTTCGTGATGACAGAGTGAATGTAATTAACATGTACTTCGCGTTGTTAAAACTTCCAGGTGTCTGTACACGATGACATCATTCAACGACAGAGTTGATATTGAACTTGTTGTGGAGTTGTTGCAAAATAATTTTGAAGTCGACGTAATTAAATTGCAAGCTGGAAATATATAACTTGGCGGAAACTATTTTGATTAAGTGATATCAAAAAACGACTGGCGCATTCACGTGCGCTTTTTCATTACTGAACTTGAACATATACACGAAACATGGTGCAGTGCAACAATTCTGATCAATTGAAAGTTCCAGGGACGTTCGTTCCTGGGAACGGCGGCCGTTAGCCTCCTGTGTGGTAGCAACAACAAGCGTTGAAAAACGTGCTTTTACTAGTGTTTCATTCCATGAGGAACCTTTGGATGAATAATGAATATTTTTCAGCGCTCGCGGTTATTTCAACCAGAAACGTAATCAATGATAGATTGACCAAGCCGTATCATAGCAATGCGAGTGTGCATTTCACGATTTTCTATCAGATTATTTGTTGTGTGACTAATCCCCTTGTAAAAATGTATTCAGGTTAATCTAATAAATGACCAGTAACAATAACATCAATCGCCACCCTTCTAATTTTTAGTATATTTCCACGTCGCGTTATTCAAATCAATTTCAAAAATAAAAATGCCACAGCTTAATTCAAAACACTTGTTCTGCAAATTAATTTCTTCCATCCTGTAATATCGTATTCTGCATTATGAAACGTGACTACCATGTATGTCTTTCTAATCTGTGACACTATTTGAGGTTGTATGTATTCTAAAGCTTGTTATCAAATGTGTATTTAGAGGATTAGCAAAACGTGACTGCTGTTTGTCTCTTTTACCCGGAAGCGTTTAATAGCAAGAACAAAATTGAAGAGCAGAAAGCTAATTGGAAAATTTTGTAATTCTCTCTTGATAATGATAGAATAAAGCCAGATTCTAGGGTTTCACGAATTAAAGCGTAATTACAGTGCATCACACTTATCTGTACTAATGACTTTGTAAACATTTCAATTAAAGTTTCATTTTATAATTAATTGAAGATCGACTTATATAAAAAATTCCACTATTCTAGCCATGTGTGAAACGAAACAATAATGACATTATTCTAATGCCGACCTCGTCCGAACGACGATCAGTTTATTAAGATGTAATATAATTTGATAAAGAATATGCAGCCGAGGTCAAACGCATAACACGACCAGTTTCTACGAACAATTATTCGCGTCACATGAAAAACGCGTTATTTACGTCAGTATCGCATCCACTCTCCTTTCGCACTCGCGTCGTCAAAGAAAATCATGTGCAAAGGCTTGCACGCGGACACTGGGAACTGCACGTCAAGAACGGACTATTTACTTCCATCTATTCCAGCATGAATAGAGACCTACGAGCCGAGTCGAGTGCAACAACCCTCCATAACCGTTGGAGTGGTTGCACAACGTACGGCCGACCATGTCGTCGCACTTACGAGACCGCTCCGCGATCGCGAGTCGCTAAATTCGCACGGCGATGAGTAGAAGAATGATTATGAGACTCACCGATGGAGATCTTGTCCGGGTACGCCGCAGGCAGCAGGATCATTAGCAGGCCCAGGGCTGTCGTCATGATGGTGGCAGTGGATGTCGGCCTGATGATCTGTAGCGGAGAACTCGCGAAGTTCGTAGTGTTTCCGAGCGTACCGGACGCGGCACCGAGAAAAATCGTCGCGCGTCGCCGCCGCCGCGGCGAGGGTGGCCCACCCGTTTCGTGAACAACCGGGAGCATCTTCCACGCTCCGTGGTCTGACACAAACTGCCGTACTCCACTTGCCGTGAACTCGATCTCGGTTGAACCGCCCCAGCATCCCTCTCTCCAGCGTCCGTCCCTCTCGCAGGCCCCGCGCACCCCGTGCCACCCGCCATTTAACCAGCCCTACCGTCCTTCCCTTCCCTGCCCTCCGTCGCCCTTCTCTCTACGCTTCTCTTCTCCTCTCGTGCAACCATCCTCTACCCTCTGCCATCCCTCCGCGCTACAGATCCCGGTCTCGGTGCCATCTCCACCGACCAACCCCCCCGTCGTACATCCTCCCTCGCGCCCTCTTTTCGCCCTCTCACTCCGGCAACAACTTTTTCCCTCTTTCGCCCGTCTCTGTCCGAGACGTGGAGGCGTACGCTTAACGCGCATGTTACGACCGGAGCGCACCGCGCGCGATTCCCTGCACGCGGCGTTTCCTGTTACTTTCCGTCGCGAATACTGAACGCGCGTCGCGGCTGATCCGGCCGGTACGAACAAAAACATCAAATGCTCAGGAGACGCGTGTGTACACACGCCCTTTGCGAAAGCGATAACAAGTCACGAACCGGGTTATCGAGTACAAACATCGCGACGCGAATCTGTTCGGAATGATGTTGACCTTACCGAGCGATTGTTTTGCTTTGCGCCCCCATCCTCGTAACCGATATCCGATGACGATTCTCACGTGATTGCTATAAAGGGAAAACAATGACTTTTCGGTCATCATGTTCGTAAACACTTATTCCGCATTAAATATTGACAGCTCTTGGAAAATTTCAAAGGGTTGTGTACATGGATATGAGAGACCTCAAACAGAATTCTGTTTTCTAAGAGAAAGATTTCAGTTCGCCGGACTAAAGGGACTTACAACGTTTAACTATATAGTGTTAACAAATGGAAAAGTCGAATTCAAAGAAATATCCAGGAAATTGTATTCTTGAGGATAAATAAATGGAATATAATTGATATTACTGCACTTGTAATATCGCAACTCGTGAATTCTTACCTCATGTAAAAGTTACAATCTCACATTTCATGATGAAGGAAATACGCTCTCTGTGTTGATTCTCTTTTAAACTCGCGAGAGGAACTATTCTTAAGACCGCCGTTGTTCAGAGATTTTGACGCCACGTTCGTGAAATAAACTGTGAAATAAAGGGAACCGGCTGTGCTGCTCGCAAAGTATCACGGTTCACAGAAACCGTGACAGTAGATGCACGTCCGAAATCTACGACCACTTTTGAGAACGTAAAACGGAAGAAGCTTACATGGAACCGTAAAATATTGATTCCCTGTAGCAATGACGCGATCGAAATCGATAGGTCCAAAGGTTAACGAACGGAAAACGCGCGGTACTGTGCCGGTAAAATATTCTGATTTCCAAACTGAATGAATTGTTGCATTGCGTCGATGTTTATGTACTTCCGGTGAATAATTTAGATTGACAGCACTCACTGATTATTCCTAACGATTCGTACATATAACTTTCACTCATTTTCCTATTTTATATGAAATGCACTTTCACTGAAGTTCTTGATTTGGATCCAATTCATATAGCCTGAAGTACGAAACAAGTTGAGATGATCGAATGAGATGTATATCGAAAGTGGCTCTGCGCAGCTGCAACTCGAATTCGAGTTCACGTAGTAAATAGAAGCATCAGAAGTGACAGGTGTAGAGAAGTTTGAGACAAACAGTTTTGTATGTTTTGTGTAATTGAAATTTAATAAAAATGGATCCAGCATTGCTTAGAGAGCGAGAGCTCTTTAAAAAACGAGCTCTCTCCACACCAGCGTACGTATTTTCATAAATCTTTATTCCTAACCTATAAGTTACAATGTATTATGAGTTATAATTGGTAAATATTACTTTTACAGGGTAGAAAAGAAGAAGAAGGAACAGGAGAAAGATTCTACAAGAGATGAGCCACTTAAGAAGAAACCAAAACCGTCCACCGTGTCCACTGGACCAAAATTGGACATGGTCAATTACAAGACTATGTCTGGTAGTACACAATACAAATTTGGTGTGTTAGCTAAAATAGTAAAACATATGAAAGCTAGGCATCAAGAGGGTGATGATCATCCTTTAACATTAGAAGAAATCTTAGATGAAACAAATCAATTAGATGTTGGATCGAAGGTAAACTTAATAATCTATTAAATAATCTATAAATTTGCAAGATTCTAAAATTACCTTCGCATTAGGTGAAACAGTGGCTTCAAACAGAAGCTCTCATTAAAAATCCAAAGATAGAAGTGACCTCGGATGGTAGATTCGTATTCAAAGCTATGTACAAAATTAAAGATAAAAAATCCCTGTTGAGGTTGTTGAAGCAACAAGATTTGAAAGGTCTCGGAGGAATATTATTAGAAGATATACAAGAAAGTCTACCACATTGTGATAAGCATTTAAAGGTGAATAAAAACTTAATCGTAAATATAGAGTATGTGCAATTTTAAAGGATAATATTAGTTGCGATTTATAATTTCAGAGTTTACAGAATGAAATATTATTTATAACAAGACCACTGGATAAGAAAAAGATTGTATTCTACAATGATAAAACTGCCCAGTTCCCAATAGACGATGAATTTCAGAAGTTATGGAGAGCAGTTGCAGTCGATGCAATGGACGATCAGAAGATAGACGAGTATTTAGAAAAACAAGGAATACGATCTATGCAAGATCACGGTCCGAAGAAACCAGCACCAATTAAGAGAAAGAAACCTACGAGCAAGAGGAAACAGTTTAAGAAGCCAAGGGATAATGAACATTTAGCTGACGTTTTAGAAACGTACGATGATAATAAATAAATAATTTAAATTTTGTAAATATAGATCAACTGAAAAAACTGTATAAGCGTTAGTATGTAAGGAAAACCGTCTATTTTTAACATTTGATATTACATATCACATGGATATAATAAATAAGTAGAGTATTTATTGTCAACTTCATTGTAAGTACAAAATAAATATAGACTAACTATTACAAGTTTTCTCTAAGCTGTGTTCGCATTACATTTAGGATAGAGTTTTGATTGAAAACATTTATACGTTGTACTGAATATATGCGCAGAGTAATTGACATTGAGATGAAAAATTCTTTCATAAAAACGTGGGAGTATCTAAAAACAATTGTGCCTACATCACATATTACGTTGGTAGAATGTAAATTATATTAAATTTCTAAGTTTACGTATAGTATATAATTTACATAACGTCATAAATCGACAAACATTAAATATGTAATATAAATCTTTGGCACTAACAATTCCGATAGCAAATATACGTATACATGTAAAGTACATGTTCATAATATATTATCGCAAATTCATTTTGAAATACATTTTGTTTATAAAATTCATACATGTGCGTATGTATGTATAATATGTATAAGTAGATTATATAAATAGTCGTTTGAACTAATCTTTTGGAAGCGCAGAATCACTTTTACCTCGTGAATAAGCGCGCGTCGCTTTGCTACCGAGCATCCTGTCCAATAAAGACTGCTTGTTCCTTCTCCTAGCTGCCAAAACCTCGCGACACAATTCGTGGAAAGATTCGGCAACTTGCGTGACCTAGAAAGCATCACATTTATTTTTTTACGATAAATTCAACGTAAATAATTTTAATTTTAAATAGTGTAAAATTAAAACGATACCTGTTCTGCGGCAGACACTTCGCTGAACCAGCATTCGAAATCCTTTGCCAGTATCTCACCCTCCTCGGTGCTAACTTGCCTTAAGTGAACCATGTCCGCTTTGTTTCCTACCAAAGCGAGAGGCATTGTTGCTTCAGGATCAACAACCGCGAGCGTCTCTTTCGCCTTTCTCACGAAATTGAAAGAACCCCTGTCGGTTATCGAATAGACTAAAAGTAATCCATCCGCCCATTGTACGGTTTCCGCGGAGGGCAATTCATCTTCGCTCTGTAACATCAGAGTGGAATACGCGCGTAAAAAAAAAAAAAACGTTTTTGCATTACGTTTTATCGTTAATGGAACCACCGTGTTCGATATAAATTTCGCGAATCATCGATAAAAGTATTACCTTCGGACAGGTGTCCAAAATTTCGAAAAGGATGGGTTCACCATCGACCAACACTTCGTGCTTGTATCTGTTCTCTGAAAAAAAACGGGGCGCCGGTATTTTTAAATGCGAACGTTAACTTGGAGTTTCTCGATGCGGTAGAGAATAATAATAAGATTACAATATTGTATAATAAATTCTTATCACGAAAGAACGTGTAATCGAATGATCAGGTAACTCGACAGGCAAGTATCGCGGCGGCGATCAGTGAGATCTTTTCAGTCTAGTTTAGTTTTAGACTAAAGACAGAGCACGTGCTCACACGAAGAGCTGCCTGTTCCTTCCTCGAGTGCCTCTGTATTTGTACAAAACGAGAAGTTTTGTTCGAGTATCAACCTCGCATTAGTACCAGTCCTGTCTAGTGTCAAATTCGTCTTCGATAAATTTAGCCCAGACGCGGGCCGAGGTATGCGTATACGGAGGGCATACATACACGCTCGGTCCCTGAGGTGCCACGGATCAGTTGCTGGCAGTTTTTCAAAAACCGGGGAAAAAGAAAAAGAAAACGTCACTCGATTGTCAACTCTATTCGCATCGTAATTTACACCGCATCGAGATACAAAATACCGCCGCGGAGACAGAACCGCGAATTGTAAATCGAGATGCTCCATACCTGCCTGGTGATCATATTCCCCGATGTATCTCCTTGTCAGAAATCTCACTGTCAGCGCTGGAATTTAAGAATAATATACGTTGTCGAAACGTTGTTGTTTCAGCTAATAGAAACGATCGTGAATCATCCTATTGCCTTGTACGTTTATTCGTTTAACGTAGCAGTTTCAAACTCCAATCGCTGTAAGGGCCGCTTTCTAATTTTGAATGAAAATTATAATTCCAGCTCGTGTACTATTTCTGCGGGATATATCAATTTTAACGAAGTAAAACAATTTACGTAGAGGAATGAAGCAATCTATCTAAAAAATATAGTTACGACATATCTGATATCAGGTGACGAGTTTAAAACCGCTGGTTTAACGAACCCAACCAGTACTCCATTCTGTTTCCATTAATATTGATATAATTGTTCAATATACTCATCTATCATAACAGACATGCAAAATGCGTGGCACGTATTAAATTGTGAATTCGTCAACACAGTATCCATGCGTATGCCCATTAGAAAGTTATCAGCCTATATTTTCCTAGAGCCGTGCGTACTATTTTTACACTTTGTTCCAAACATTCGGGCGGCTCGTGCTGCTACTTAAGATACACGATTAGACGTGAACAATTTATAAGAGAGAAACACGTTACGTTACGCAAACGTGTAAGTTATCGATCCCGATTCAAGGAAAATTTAGGTGACCGAGTTTGAAACCCCCAGCTCCCGTCTTTGGGTTTTCCTGGCTTCTCAATCGAACGAAATCAATTTCCACCTGATATTGTGGAAACGTTCGCGATCCTGCTCGATACAATATACGCGGTTCCGACGTATCACGATCCGATCAAGAGAAACGAGAGCTACAGCCTAGTGACCCGCTTCGAGGTGTACCACACTATTTTTACCTCGAACTCGAACCCGCAATGCCACGCGGCGCCACAAAACCTTGCACGTGCTTTAAACGTCACCATGCTGTATTTCATCTTAAATCCGATGAAAAGCGACCTGTTTTATAAGTACCGTAAACAAGTTCCTTTCAAGCAAATCAGGGCTAATTAAAAGGCAATTGTTAATAGGACCTAAAAGAAGTCTCGTTTAAAAAATTGACGTATTATACTTTTATCATAAACCTGGATTTCGACATGAATTAAATTGACTGCGCGGATGGAATTACGAGCCGCGTAGCAGTGACTAGTATCTTATTCGTGATTGACAAAACCATCTGGACGGTTCGTAGAGAACGACGAATTTATCAGCGATTCGTATATTTGTGTACGAATCATTTGGACGCTTTCCCTCGCGTGGTTCATTAAAAGTTCGCCGGTTTTCGTGCCAATTTCCTGCGCGGATCAATTCGGTTACTCCGTGCCGTCTTTTATCTCCCTCCTTTCAACAAATTTTAACTTTCAATTACTTGGCAAGTTAAAAATACTATCTATGAAACGGGAGACGTGTACAGCCGTTGTTTCGGGATAGAGAAATCGACGATCACCTTCTCATCGTTCGCGGAAAATCGACGTGGGTGTTCAACATCCAAGGATTTGAAAGCAGATTTTATAAATAATGCGAGTGGTTCGCGATCAGTTCGAAACGCAACGTTAATCGGGGTTCGACCAATTATTTATTCACCTCTGTGCCGTACACGTGTCATTACTAAAAATACGCGCGTTTGGCTTCTCTCAGGGTTCTACTTAACCGCGTTCATCGTATGGCCGTATTGCAATGCGTGCACTTGCACTTGAAGCCTTTTTATTGGTCAATCTTGTCAGTTTTAATGGGTGCTACTAAAATGATTCATTTATACAACGTATGGACTAACTGTACCTCCTTAACAACAGATGGTCTCCTAGATTAATATCCCATATAAAAACTCATATTTTCGTTAACACTTCCTGTTATTTTACTATTTATTTAATTACAATGCAACCAAACACTTGTTATAAAAACTCATATTTTCGTTAACACTTCCTGTTATTTTACTATTTATTTAATTACAATGCAACCAAACACTTGTTATAAAAACTCATATTTTCGTTAACACTTCCTGTTATTTTACTATTTATTTAATTACAATGCAACCAAACACTTGTTATAAAAACTCATATTTTCGTTAACACTTCCTGTTATTTTACTATTTATTTAATTACAATGCAACCAAACACTTGTTATAAAAACTCATATTTTCGTTAACACTTCCTGTTATTTTACTATTTATTTAATTACAATGCAACCAAACACTTGTTATAAAAACTCATATTTTCGTTAACACTTCCTGTTATTTTACTATTTATTTAATTACAATGCAACCAAACACTTGTAAAGAAATTAAATAATATATGTTAATGCATGATGGGATTTAGTGAAAGGACGAAGGAAGCTCTCGCATTATAATACAACAGGCAATATCAAACGAACATAAGTGCATTTTACGTAACTACGTAAACTGAGACAGATTAAACGTTAGTATCCTTTTCGATTCTAAGCAAAGTGTTTTATTTAAAATGAATCGTAACACATACCGCTTTTTCCGACAGCTGGTGCTCCAATCACAGCCACCTTTACCTCGCACAGCGAACTCTTTTTCCTCCGAATACCCCTAATTGCATTTGACGTCATAGTCCGCGCATTTGTCGCTGCACAAAGCGTAACAGAATCGTGTTACCGATTAGCGTGGTCGCAAAACAGAGGTGCCCGCGAGCTAGTAGAACGCGGAGGGCGAGGGATATTCGTGTGCGTGCACGAAACGATAGAACGCGAAATTTTGTCGTGATTACATCTTTCCTTGGCCGGCTTCCACGAGCGTCGATAACGCCTGCGGATTTCGTACAACACGTTTGAATACACCAACGCAGGTAAGTCAGCGAGCCGGTGTCCGCTGATTGTCTGCCAACGAAAACATCGCCGTCGAGAATTGTACATTCGTAAACAGTCAGTTAAACAACGTTCACCGACGTGAACAATAACAAATTTTATCCATGAATAACTGAATACGAAATTACTGATCGTTTATGCCGTCAATAACTCATAGTACGTTCAATGAGAACTATAAAGACGAGAGAAACCATTTAGAAATGAACGATTCTTTGAATATCGAACACGCGGTTCCATTTACCGGGTGTCTCGTGTCTTCCTGATCCAGATGAAAACGGGACCGAGGCGCGCGCGCGCGCGCGCGCGAACTTCGTGCTCCCTTTCGAACGAAAGTTTAAATACACCGCACTCTTCTGTTCCGACGGCGCCGCGTCGCCAGTGAAAGAAGACGAAGAGGGGCAGAAGCGGTGGAAACGGAGCGGAGAAAGAGCGGGAATCGAGGTGCGTGTGCGGGCATCGACGGGAAGGAGATGGGAATACGCGATGGGTACATTAATAGAACAGTTTGCACATGTCCCGTGGAATCCGAGGAATGTACTCCGTGCGTCTAACAATGTACAATCGCGGCATGTAAAGTCATGTTACGGGTGAACCCGGCCTGCTAGATTGGGCATGACCGTGTTTTGGTCGCGAAAGTTGCACCTCTGGACGTCCCAGTTTCTCGAATTATGCATGATGGGATTTAGTGAAAGGACGAAGGAAGCTCTCGCATTATAATACAACAGGCAATATCAAACGAACATAAGTGCATTTTACGTAACTACGTAAACTGAGACAGATTAAACGTTAGTATCCTTTTCGATTCTAAGCAAAGTGTTTTATTTAAAATGAATCGTAACACATACCGCTTTTTCCGACAGCTGGTGCTCCAATCACAGCCACCTTTACCTCGCACAGCGAACTCTTTTTCCTCCGAATACCCCTAATTGCATTTGACGTCATAGTCCGCGCATTTGTCGCTGCACAAAGCGTAACAGAATCGTGTTACCGATTAGCGTGGTCGCAAAACAGAGGTGCCCGCGAGCTAGTAGAACGCGGAGGGCGAGGGATATTCGTGTGCGTGCACGAAACGATAGAACGCGAAATTTTGTCGTGATTACATCTTTCCTTGGCCGGCTTCCACGAGCGTCGATAACGCCTGCGGATTTCGTACAACACGTTTGAATACACCAACGCAGGTAAGTCAGCGAGCCGGTGTCCGCTGATTGTCTGCCAACGAAAACATCGCCGTCGAGAATTGTACATTCGTAAACAGTCAGTTAAACAACGTTCACCGACGTGAACAATAACAAATTTTATCCATGAATAACTGAATACGAAATTACTGATCGTTTATGCCGTCAATAACTCATAGTACGTTCAATGAGAACTATAAAGACGAGAGAAACCATTTAGAAATGAACGATTCTTTGAATATCGAACACGCGGTTCCATTTACCGGGTGTCTCGTGTCTTCCTGATCCAGATGAAAACGGGACCGAGGCGCGCGCGCGCGCGCGCGCGAACTTCGTGCTCCCTTTCGAACGAAAGTTTAAATACACCGCACTCTTCTGTTCCGACGGCGCCGCGTCGCCAGTGAAAGAAGACGAAGAGGGGCAGAAGCGGTGGAAACGGAGCGGAGAAAGAGCGGGAATCGAGGTGCGTGTGCGGGCATCGACGGGAAGGAGATGGGAATACGCGATGGGTACATTAATAGAACAGTTTGCACATGTCCCGTGGAATCCGAGGAATGTACTCCGTGCGTCTAACAATGTACAATCGCGGCATGTAAAGTCATGTTACGGGTGAACCCGGCCTGCTAGATTGGGCATGACCGTGTTTTGGTCGCGAAAGTTGCACCTCTGGACGTCCCAGTTTCTCGAATCAATTTCCTGATTCCTAATTTTCATTTATAAAGCATCGCAGATCACATTTTTAAAATACATAAAATAAAAAATACTTCAATATAAAAAATAAACGAAGATAAGGAAAGACGATTAAAAAAAGCTGATTAAAATAAAAGATTTTGTATGTTGAAATTTTAATGAAATGTCTGATAGGAGTACAATCCCATACTTACTTATCACTCGCCTAGAACACACCGATGTACCGTTCCCTCAGCATTCCTCGATGCACTTTCTATCAGCTCGTGCGGTGGTCCTCCACCATATCGCGTTCTCTCAATTCCCGTTTCGAACGAAAGGGAAAAAGTACGTACGGTGCACGTGAACTCACCACGATACTTTCGTTCCTACTATCGGCTTGCAAGTTACCTTTTCGAAGACAATGCCGCGAAGAGAGTTGAGCCGCGATTAACCGCGCGAAACAGGGCGGAAGGGATCGATATCGGAAATCCTCGACGGTGTCCCGAGGAATGATGAAAAGGGTAACAGGTCGAAACTGAATTTGAATCGGTGCGCGTTCACCTCGGTACACGTTGTCACGTGATTTTTGACAATTTCACGTTGCCTGATCCGACGCGGTTCTTGGTCTCCGCGCGACTGTCTCTCCCCATTCTCTTTTAGCGGCTCACCGAGTCGGGCCTCCTTTATTGCTCTTAAGCCACGTACGCGCGATATCCACTTCCGGTTACGGAGCGCGCGTCGAAGAGAGAAGGCCGCGTCTCGAAAACTCGTACCACATTTCCTGCACGCTCCCGTTAACGATGGCCGTGGCGTGTTGTATAAAGCTTCTGGATTCCGCGGAATTGGGGCAAATATTGACTGCTGTGAATGTGCCACGGTCACGATCGTAAAACCAACGTTTTACGGAAACCGCGAGGTTCGCACGCTCCCAGCTGAGTACATGGGAATCGGACGGAAGTCTGTTTGTAAATTGAGCAGTTCGCGGAATCGAACGGATAGATCGGTTGTTATTTCGAGCTTATACGGAATGTTAGAGTTCCTTTGAGAAAAGTAAGCAAACGAAGCCGCGGTTGTACATCAAATTTTATTGCTGCTCGCGGTGGGAGTGGGCGATTTCTCAAGTTCTTGTAAATTAAACAAAATTTAACGCGATCGCGAATGTTCGGTGGAACAGAGTCCTGGTTTTCCCGGCGGATCGTCAGGCTGCGCTCGCGAGTTTCACGTCCACGGCTAGAGGAGCCACTCGTCGGTGAACTCCCGGCTCTCTTCCTTCCCGACTTCGCGATTCTGTTCAGCTCTTCTACACGCTTCCGGACATCCACCGAAAATCCAGTTCACTGCTCGTACCAGGGCTGGCTTTAATCGATCTGAATAGTTAAAACAATTTTGCATATGTATGAAACATAGATAAAAAAATATCCATTGATTGTTTCATCGAAATAAATTCTAATACCCAAATATCAACTGTTTTGCATTATTTAGTTTAAAATTCAATGTTATAGAATATAGAATAAAAACGTATCAATTTTTATTTGAATAAAAAATTGCTTACTCAGATAACAGGACTGGACGTACTTTTTAAAATAGGTTCATTATAAAAATCATAATCGAAAATCGAATCATCCGAAGATCTTTGAAGTAGCAGATTTTCCTTTTGTGGTTTCGCCCCGAGATTGAGCTTCCCAAATTGAGAATTCTCATCATCTGCTTCCCCACCTCGGTCATTGTGATAATTAGTGCAACAGAAATTCGCTGCCATGTCATTATTTTGGAATTTCTTATTACGCGATTTAACACTTTCTTCGTGTTTCTAGTAAGAATTCAACATTTACAAATTCTTTTCACTGTCAGAATTTATTTATAAGTTCAAAATGTCTGGTTACCTGCATACGAATTTTATCGCGATCATTCACATCTTTCTGGAACTCTACTTTACGGCTATTGCTCACGTTAATTGGTTTTTTCACCCTGTCGCCCTCAGGATTGTAATGATTGTAATCAACCATATACACGTTCTCGTTGGTCTCCTCCATTTTTTTGTACGTCTTGGGATTCACCATGCTGCGGGACGATCTTAAACGTTGATTTATGCGATTACGATGTTCGTATAAAAATGTGCAATTTATATTGCACGTCATTTACTTTAGTACATTCTTAACATCGAGCGGGGCCATCGTCACGTGAGTCTTGTTATTGAGATCTTTATTACTGACTCCCTGTACGAAGCATCCGTTGGTCCCACAACATACACCGCCACAATATTGGCTTCCTTCGTTTAGCGAATTGGCGACAGAGTATTTCGCGATATCAGTAGAGTTCAGTTCAATTTCTTTCAAGTACGTTTCCATTGCCTACATTAACAACGAGAATGGAAAAGTTATAAATAGACAATAGAAACAAAATTAGTATAATTACTGAATCTGTCATATTGTAGTCATGGTCTCTAGTCGGTCCTTCTTGTTCCGAGCTTGAAGCTTTCGACGAGACTTTATCAGTAGTGGTACCACATTCCTTGTATTCTATCTTCAAATAAGGATCTTGGACAATTACCACGTCTTCCTTGTCATATTTCTGATCGATCATCGCTAATTGTTGTGGACTGCCACTGCAATGAATAATAAAAACGAATTTAATAATTATAGTTTTAAATTTGTCATATTCGTACCTGATTAAAAGCGCGTAATTCTCGACAGCTGATCCGCTGCTTCCTTTCGTGCTGACCACATGTTTGTGCGAATTTTTTTTCATATACTTTGGATACTCGTCCGATTTATTCGTGTAAAGATAGACTGGCTTGCTAATCTCCATGCAAGGTTCAACTTGGACGTCTTTAATGCCATTGTTACGAAAACGATGACGGGATTGTCGGTGCTCCTTTAATGCTTTATTACTCTTTTTCTTCTCCTTACTACTATAAATTGTGTACATGTAAGAGAAACATTATTCCAGAAATATTCAATAATAAATTAAATAAATTAATATATAAATACTTTAAAAATATTCTTTCAATATAAGACATAAAATGATTTTAAATGTTGCTATTAATATATTTCAACTGACCCCAATGCATCATCGCCGCTGACAAAGATCTTCGACTTCTTAATTGAATTCTTTTGCACTATTCCAACATTCTCATCGTCAGTCGGCACTTCATGCAGAACGTGCTTCTGTATTGCTAACGCTTGTTCATATCGGGCACGCTGGTACTTGGATTTAATTTTCTCGTAGAGGAACTCACTCTCGCGCGTGCTCAGTGCTGATTTCAATCCGTTCGCCGTGACATCGATCAATGTGTAACAAATTCTGCGCGCGTCTAAATATATGTTTTATTAACATACAAACTGCATATATTTAATTCGTGTTGAAACTGGTATCAATTTATTTAAAGATACGTCGATCTTATTTCATATGATTTTTATGCGCATTGAAATTATGACAAAAAATTGACATTTATTATTATAATAGAATAATGTCTAATGCTAAAATGCAGTGTAATAATGATCGTATGCAAGAAAAACCTTAATCTAAAAATAGTTTTACGTGTATGTTATGTCGCATGGTATTGTAACAGAAGATCAATTCTTCCTCTGTTGATTACGTTAAATCGGAGGGAATACCATGTACAAATGAGACTAGTTTTACTTTCAAATTTCACATGCAGTTAGTAAAAACAAATTTCTCGCATTTCACTCTCGACCTGCCTTCCTATTTCTTACTCACGTGGCCGCGATTCTGGGACGTAGTACAGTATGACACCGGACAACATCAACGCTATTATAGAGAATCGTTTCAGGTAGCTGAACCAGCTGAACACGAAGAACGTATCCTCCGAATAACCTGACGAGCGAATGAGGAAGTGACTCCGGGGCACCGACGTAAATACGTGCTCAACGTGACGCGCGCTTTCACTTACTGTCACTGTTCCATGATTTCGTTGCGGCGCATTGTATCATAAGCGCGGCAAGCACCGTCAAGAATTTCATGATCTCCAAATGGGACGCGAGTGCCCGTTTGCCGTTTATTGGCTGAGATTCGGTTTCGAGCTTACATGATAATCGCCATGATGTTTTCAGTGGACGATGCGGAAACGGAAGATGGCAACGGGTATCTTCGATCCGACGTTCGCCCCGAGGCCAGCGAATTTCACTTCGATTTATATGGATAAACGAGTGATTTTTATAATAAGAAAGCTATCAGTTTCCCTTGTAATCTCTTAAGGATGTATTGGCNAAGAGTTATTGGCAAAAAACGAAAATTTCGCAAAATCTGAAGGGGTACCCCTTGGAAAAATCTCGACAAATTTTTTTTTGTGAAAATATCGAAAAATATCGAAATATATTCTAAAAAGCGTCAAAAATACCAGACTTTTTAGGCTTGTATTTCCTCAAGTCAGTTGTTTCTTCCAACTTCGCGCATACACACCAAATACCAGAAAGTTTTCTTTGGGTTACTGCTGATTACCATAAGAGTACATGCAACTTTTAAGACACTATAATTTTTCAAAAAACGCAATATTTTATTTCTAAAAGTGATTAGAATTAAATCATCACGTTACTCAATATTATCCAACTATTTTCGTAGAACGTACGTTTTATAAGAATGGGAGTAATAAAGATAAATTGTATAAGATTCATATCTTAGACTTTTATTATGCTCTGAATACTTTACAATATAATACAAAGAAAATCTAGCGAACGCGTCGGACGTCTTCTACAGGTGAACGGAAACGCGCTGTAGGTGCGCGTCGACGTGAACGCGGGAAATCGCATTTGGTACGAGTTAGCGACCGGGAGGAGAGAAAAAGTAGTGCAGGGTGCGTACAAGCGAGAATTCTCACTACACGCTAGACTTGGTGCGTCTCTAAATACAACACGGACTTCATTATCGAAGTTATTGCCGGCGAATGGTCAATGAGCATCTCGAGAAAGGTAAACGCCGTCCCCCGTTCTTCGTTCTCATCGAACGATCGTATATGCTATTTCAAAACTGAGCCGTACACATGTATATAAAAATAAAAGTAATTCTCTGCCTTGTACGATTGTCGATTAGCATGAGTGCACCGCAAATGATCGTTTACCTTCGATTATTGTCTATCGCGCCGGAGGACGGACGCGTTTCTCAAGAGCTATCCGTTCGTTAATAATTATCTAATATAAAGAACCTACATTGCTTTATAATACTAGCCGTCCTGCTACACAGCTAATAGGCGAGGACAGCGCAACGTCGATTACGTTCTAATGAAAACGGCTGGATGAAGCAAAAATTGGAACGCGACTACGCGATTACTTCATGTTCAACGTAATAATAATAATTAATACAATAGAATAAAATACAACACAGTATGACGTTACGAAATATACACGCGCGAAACGTTTAAGGCGTACCGGAACCGAGCCCGTTGGCCCGTTCAGACACGGAGATCCTCCAATAATACTTTCTTCCTTGCAAGAGAACGCGAATTCAATAAATAACACGTGAGGCGCGGTTAAACACGTCGGCGTCGCTCGTATTGTGAATAATACGAGTAATCTAATTTGAACACCGAATTGGAATACGCGCTCGCGCGTTCAGCTACGCGGATGGGCGACTTTATACACAGAGTGAGACTTAATGCGAACAATGATGCGAATGACGTCACGTATAGATCACCGAGTCAAGATCTCGATTTTTCAACGAAATTTATAATTATACCTATATGCGCATTTAGGATAACTGAAGTTGGGTCTGCGGTTGACTTGAACTGAATTTAACATGAGCATTTTCTACGGGTCTCGAGGAGAGAGGTTGGGTTTGAGAACTCGATGATTTTCTGCGAGAGAGGAGTAGTCGTGTTGCGTTATAGGGTGATTTACGCGAAGGAACCCTTTAACTTGTTGATGGCATTCGTGAGATGGGTCATCTCCGTGTTCAGCTGGGAGACCAAGCCTTCCAACCTATCAACGCTGTCGAGCACCTCGACGCGTTGAGTGTGCGGATTGTATCTAACTTCGAAGGGTCTGCTCATGGTGGCCACCTGAAATGGAAATTGAACGTTAGATAAATACGTCCTTGATAACTGTGCATTGTGGGAATTTCAATGAGCTTATAAATCATTACTAGTTTTTATAATAAACAATCTTCTAGAAAATAATATGTGAAACATGACAAATACTTTTACATACAATTGAAGAACATAATCGTGAAATTCAGTAAAAATAGAAATTTAGAAACAATGGGTCACAATTTGTGATTAAGCTAAACGACATGACACGATGATAGCACATTCCAGGCATTGGAATTTCCGGTATCGAGCAAACGCTTACCCAACGACGGAATTTCTCTTTGGCGTCTGCGAAGCTCTCCGCTACGTAGTAAATCGGCTGGTATTCTTGATCCTGATACTTTTGAAGAGCGGTGGTAGCTGGATCGAACGGTCGATGCTCGCACTTATCGCTCACCGAGTGAAGGAGTTCTCCATAAGCGGACAGAAGTCCTGCGCCATAAGCTTTCACTTCCGAACCCTCCTTGCATAAACCGAACTCGATGGTGAACCAGTAAATGGTGGATAATTTCTCAATTTCCTCGTCTGAGGCGCCGAGAGAAGCCAGCCCGATCTCTTGGGAGAATTGTGCGAAGCTAGCATCGGCAAGTAGCGGCATGTGTCCCAAGAGTTCGTGGATGCAATCTCTGTAAATGAAATGAATACGAATTGAAGATGTCTCGCTAATTAGACTACTTATTGCTTTTCTATATTCTGCGATATTGAAAGGACGGTAATTTAAGCAAATGTCACTAGGTAATAGAATAAGCTGAAAGTAGAGTGAAAATTCTCTTGAAAGTGAATACGGAGGGAGCTGAGCTTTCATCTCGGAACTAATAATAGCATGTGATTTCATTATCTGAAAATTCTCGTTGGAACAACGTCTATCTGCCCGTAGATATAGAGCGATTCTACGCTATTATAATTCTTCATATATGAAAATAAAAATGATATAAAAAGTGCAAAAACGTGTATCCAACATTTCGATTTTTTCGCGAAGAATTCGGATTGATTAAAACTTTCTTAATAATAGAAGACAATGATGGACCAGTTTAAATTCGGTATCTCAGTATTGAACGCGGAAGCTGTTTCGGGGGTGAAATGAGTTCGCAACTGTGAAACTGCGTTATCAACGCCATCGTGTCGTTAAAAGCCAATTAGAGCTCCATTAGGAGCTTAGAGAGCCACGGTAATTCCATTAATATCGTTCTCTATGTAACAGGAGGTCGCCCTCATCATAACCCAGTATCGATTACCACCGTGTACCTTCGCGTGAAATGATCTTCCGGATATAAATTGAAAAAGCGTTATAAAACACGAGACGGACTAATAACACTTAACCGTTGAAAAACAATTGAAAATAATTAGAATAGTGAATTGTATAAAGAAAAGAGAATAATGGTATACTAACGGTTCAGGAGTATGGTACGGGCTGTTGATATGACGGACGTATTGAGTGCTCTGGAACACTCTGAAGGCGAGACTGGACAAGAAGTCCCTGGCGGTGAGCAAGCCAGCCGCAGGTCTCAAGCTGAATCCGGTGTTCTTCTTCAAGAATTCGCTGACTTCCTGCAGTTGCGGTATACGGTGCGGTTCGAAGATTTTCTCCTCCTGCATCTTCTTGAACACTTTTTGATACTCTATACAAGCGTGCTTCGGGACCAGATCAATCAGCGTGTTGAACACGCGGGACCAAGTCTCGTTCTCCGTTTCGGTGTAAGGGATGTTGGGTATCGGGTCGCCGTACTTGTACGCGAACGCGATTTCTGCGATCACCTTCCTACGAGCACGGTACTCCTTGTCAGCGAATCCGGGATGGTTCATGTCGAGATCGGGCTCGTATTTGGTCATCAAGTGGTTGCAGTTGTCCAGATCGGACGCGTGCCTGGGGAACCAAGGATCCTTGATGCTGACGGAGTTGTCCGCGAGCAAAGTGACGCCGTCCAACGCGACGCTCTGACGGAGGTTCCTGATCAGTTGAAGCAGACTCTGCTTGGTCATATCGACCTTCACCAGTACGTCAAACTTTATCCCTTCCTTCTTTGAGGCTCGAGACTCGACATGGGTCACCGTTCCCTTAAAATTCTCGATCGTCTTCAAGATCCTCGCCAGGGAACCGATTCCTTCTCTCATACGCAGGACCAGCGCCGCTTTTTGCACGCTGTATTCGCTCTCCGGACTCTCAGCGATCGTCTTTGCCAGCACTACTTCCTCTTCGGTCAACCCGGCGTCTGAAAGAAACCGCGTCCATTGAATGAAATTCCGAAAATTATCTGAGAATCGCATTGTGGTAATGCTTCGAATTCCAAGATTATCGAACTCGAGCACTCTTTCTTCAAACTCTCCGTTAAGCGAGTTCTACCCGGGGTAATAATCGGGCAATTCAAAGTCCATTTCCGCGAGATGTCTGCCGGCGCGTACTTTTTACTTTTATATGGACGTCGGTTCTTAGCCGATGGAGAAAATAGGGATAGAATAAAGTAGCTCTTATTGTCGCCCACGAACGTGGCCGGCTTCGGAGCGAGCGGAGACGGTAAAAAAGGAATAACGGTGTTATACATTTATTGTGGACGCACGAAAGCGTTTCAGAAACGGTGGAAAGTGGTCCCCGGCTAATACGATTCTAAATGCACAAAGCGGATTCGGGAAAATGACGAAGGGTTGGAGCAAAGAGCCAGGAAAAGGTAAAAAGGTCGTCCCGCAGTAATTTAGCCGAGTATTGGTAAAACTCTCCACAATAAGGTGTCTTTCATTCTCTATTCACTCTGTCTTTATCATCTCTCAGAATTTTTGTTTCAATTTATCATATATAAAACGTAATTTAATTTTCTGTTCGCGTGAAATTATTAATGATTTTGTATCTTATTACGAATTTATTATAGATTGTACAATTAATTTTTGAAGTATAAATATTGGTATGCATATAATCCAGTCAAAGCAGAATAAATTTACTTACATAAAGTACTTGCAATTAAACACATAAAAATATATGTTCGGAAACAATGATTGAACTTACCATCATCATAATCCTCATCTGCTTTGCCGATATCGCTATCCGACGAAACTTCAGCTTTGGCTTCTGTAAATTAAATAAATAATTACGTGCTCATGCATAAACAATTTACAAAAATTAATAATTCAATTAAAAGAAATACAAACCTCCGTCCTTGGCTGCGCAGGCCAATGATTCCACCTGTTCATCATCGCTCGACTGATCATCTAAGCGAAAACAAAAAGATCATGCAACATCGATACTACCGAACATTATAATAAATTAAAGAAACAAAGGAATGGACAATTTTTGTTTCAAACGAATATCAGAGATTATTAAAAAATATCTATTCGTCAATCGTGCAATAGGAACATCAAGTAAAAAATGCAGGCAGTAAAAACATTGAATAGAATAATGATTTAGTACTTACCATTCGCTCGTTGACGTGCTTCTTCCAGAACGCTCTGTTTCGTTTGCTTCACGACTAACGATTCGAAGCGAGCATCATCCACAAGAGACCGCCTTCTCGACGGGTAGCCATTCTAAACAAACCAAGAAATAAAATATTATTCATTAAGTAGTATTCCATTAGGAATCGTTATAAAGAACACGCGTGGCAATCTTTCAGACTGGTCGTGGAAAAAGTTTAAAATGATCAGATATCCCGATTCCATCGCCGTGTGAAATCTCTCTTCGTCGAGTCAAAGTTTACTCAACTCTCTAAGGTCAGATGGGCAAAGAACAGGTAACGAACCCTGATAAAGATTTTGAGATACGGAAATTAACGTTCCGTCCGGCTGCCGTTGAAGGATCGGAAATTGGCACATCCTGAGGAAAGACACACAAAGCGTTCTCACTTTTTTCAAAAAAGACCGCGATACGAGAATTCCCACAATACAGCCAGCACGGGAGACAACAAAGAAATGGGAACGAATTGCCGCTAAAAATAGTTCGCAAGACGCATGGGAGACTTCGACAATTAAATGATTAAGAATCTCTTTAGGAATTCGCAGACGTTGCCGCATCGATGCAACAGAAGTGGCATTCAAATTCTAAACGACTGCTTTTCATGAATGGCGCACGCAAGGTGGAACCCAGTTCCATTTTCCGAGCGTGCAAAGCCGCTGGCACGGTTTAGAGAAAACGTGTAGTAATCCCTTAACAACATGTCGCTCCAAAGTGGGCCAAGTACTTCGACGATGAAACAGATAGATGACCGATGACTCTATCGGGCAATTGCATCACTCAGAACGACGGCGAAACGATTTGAAAAAAAATTGTCCTACACGATGCAGCGAGAAGAAAAACGCTCGGCATTGACCAATTCCATCCTTTAACGATCGAGGCTCGATCATGTCACCTGGTTAATTATTGTCATCTGTGTGTGAGTGAATCACGTGCACATGCATGTTTATGCACCTGCGTTACAATTCCTTAGTTTTGTATTATTATACAAATCATACAAAGAAGTAATTGAACGCTATTATTGTCGAAAAGTAAAAAAGAAATGGCGCTAATTGAAAAATATCGAATGATCTGAATAAGAAAAATCAATTTCTGTACTATTCACATTAATAATTCAGTCAGAACATTTACATAAAAAATTTAATTAATTTATCTTTAATAATACAGAAAAATTGTAGTTATCAAACATGTATACGTCAAATTCTGATTCGAACGCTAGATAGTTTTCTATAATTTCAATGATAGATCAATTAGCTTATTAGAAAAAGTGTGTGCGTTGATATAATGCAATTCAAGAAGTTGGTACGGCATTTCAAGCGTGGCGAAAGCTGATCTCGCGTTTATCAGGAATATTCCCATATGATCGATACTTACTGCTGCTAAAGCGACTTGATGATGCGTGACAAATGCATACCATCAAGGTTGATCATTATTTAGCCATTAAAATCACAGCTGCTCTAACATTATTCTATACGTTTATACGGATCTCGCGACGTAACACCTATTATGCGATACAGAAGTGTAGCTACCGGTTAAACAACGAGCTAAGTTTTTCAACAAATGTCAGATCAATCGATCAATTCTATACAGCAATTATTCGCAGGTCGTATCCGTTTGCAAGAAATTTCCGCTAAAAGAAATTACTTTGATATTCAATGATTGATATCAAGCAAGATGAAAATTCACGTAGCTGCATCGGAATCCGATTAAAAAAAATAGAAAAATGACAGAGCAAGTATGTTACGCAATGAGTATGCATTATGCATCTGCTGTATTAATACGATTTTTTTTTTTCAAGTCGATCGAGAGATATCGTTCTCGGTGCTCTTCGGACAAAACAGGTCATTTAAATAGAACGATTATCATAGTGGAATCGACGGACAGACGGGAACGTCACGGCAGCTGTGTGCGTGTGTGTATGTATATAGCCGCGTAACGCTTCGCGTTTTGCGATTGACCGTCGCGTCGGGTGTTCGATAAGTGGTTAGTGGCACTGTCGCGCGTGTGGCGAGCCTCCAAAGGTGAATAACGGAGTTTAGAGCGCAACGTTCAGGGCCTCACCGCGCCTCTCTCGGTAACCATCAGACTTTACAATCACTCCGTTCTCATATTTATAAGATATTCATAATTATCATGCGGGAGCCGAGGTCGCACGATTTTGCAACGCGATACGATTACGTGATCTCTCCTCCGCAGCGCTCTAACATATACCTGCAGCTCTCGTTAAGGAGGATTTAAGTTAATCAGAAATCTTTTCACGAATCGGTACACACGTCGGTAGTTTCATGCACGCGGTCGATTTAATCGGTCGATTAGTTATCGTTAATTAAGTCCGGCGATCGGAGTTGGCAACAAATTCAAATTAATTATTGCAGTTTGCGTACTCCTGCATTATAAGCTCGCGTTTCCAGAGAGTGATTGAAAAAAAATCTTGCGAGATGCAATATGAAACAGTTCGCCGGGAATGCCTAGCGAGCAACGTGATCAAGGTCGGATCATTTTTCATCCCTCGGTACAATGTAACGCGAACACGTCTCGATAAAGATCGAACGAGCACGCGAATAGCGGATTCGATCTTGGATCTAGATCCGGCGCGCTCTCGAGTTCCGTACTAGTGAGTCAGAGCTACCGTCGCGGTCGTTTGCTATTGTCGTTAATACAGTACAGCCGTGAATGTAAGCGCGACGTGTAAAATGTCTCATTATGTACCGGAGTACGTAATTCACCGGGTGAAACTTGTATTACCATTGAATACCGTTTGCATCTCCAAAAGAAAACTAGACGTATGTGCATGATAGGAAGATTCCTAAAATTTCATCAGCCTCGTTGATCCGCGGTTACCCAATTTAAATATAAACACGTATACACGTGTTAGCTCGGAAATATTCGAGCTCATAGAATTTATGATATGCGGAGAAAGTCAAATGGGCCAACAGAGCGACACCGGTGAAAAGCGTCAGCGATAAATTTCACGTGGTACTTGAATAAAATTTGACTTTTCGTTCTCAACGGCTCGCTCTGTCTACTTGCAAGAAACTAACAGTAACGAACATCGCTGCAATATTCAGAGAATTTATATATTTTACATTATCATGCAAAAATGTTTAAAAATCATTGAGACTGAAAGAAAGAACAGAAAGAATGTTCAGCTTAAAGTGCGTGCGTTCCACGGTGAAGAACTGCATGAATGAAAAAGTTTCTGGCAGACCTTGCCGGGATACCAATTAAACCGTGTTACTGTGCGATTTAGAAAAAGAAAATAGAGCGCGAGCGCGCGCGCGCCGGTTGGAAAAGTGCACAGGGACACGTCCTTGTAATTCTAATTCTCGGAGGACCTGCCCAGAGCTGGACTGACTCTGTTCCCGCGGCTCTTATGAATGGAAAAAAAAATCGCGGCCTCGACAGGAGGCTTCGATTGAAAGTCGTTACTGCGCGACTTGTTCTTCTAACGACATAAGAGAGGTTCGCGCTGCCGCGTAGAGTCTACAGGAACGAGACGCTGCGCACGCGATTTCCTGACGAAGAATTCAAAATTACGCGTTCGACGTGGAATCGCAACGTTACGAGACCGTAATTACAGACGCGGCGACATAATTTATCGTCACTTCGATACGCTTTAACTAGCGTTAACCAATGCCGGGAGACTAACGGGAAGATCGTTACGAAAGCTCAAGCTGCAAGTCGCAAGAAATTGTTCATTAGAAATTTATCAAAAATTCCTAACGATGGGAACATGCATTATATTAAACTGAAAGAGCAGGGTTATACATTTTTTTAGCTTCGTCGATGATTTCCCTTCTCGCATTATGGGATTTTTAATTAAAATCTACGGACTTCCGCGATCGGGGCGATGAGTGGGAGATATCTTGATCTCTTTCGTTACGAAATCTCTGATTTTTTAATGAAAGACGATAATCTGTAGATGGGACAATGCATTCCAACCGAACGGCAAGGTCATTAATATTACGCAACCATCGTAATAATTATTGATCGCGTACTTTCTCTATACTTTTCGGCTTCCTCACTGTCAGCCTGAGAATTTCACTCGCACGGCTTGGCCGTAGGAAGAGTTAAACATTCGTGTATATATGTTTATATATACACGGTTATATACAAAGACGGGTTGCTATTTAGTTTTTTACCTGTTGCGAAATACGCCGGGTTTATATCACGAGAGTCACGTAGACAACCATGAGAGAAGATTCTTTCGCGTAAGAAAGTTTCAAAGATTCTCACGGAAAGAAATTATCTTATTTTTTAGCACTCGTTTTCACTCGATTAAACAATCATAAAATTTGAAAGAAACATAAATGAATTTCTGCAACGTCAAGGTTTGGATACTTAAATATTTCCTGCTTTAAATGAACTTTCATAAGTGTCGTAGAAAAGAAAGTAAACGTTTCGAATTCACAAGGATTTGTATCGGCGAAGAATCACCGTTATCGAAAGCCGCCGTGTAATAAGTTAATAATACTAAACCGGGGAAAGTGAAATAATTGGCGGAGTGGAATATTAGCTACTTGGAATTACGGCGTGACGCGCGAGATTCGTAGCAATTTAAACGTGCGGCTAAGTTCCCGCGATTTCTTGCTATCCACCTTCGATTGACACTCGACCTCGCCTATAACTCGGCAGTCACTCACAAAAATTTACTAACATCTTACGCAAGATCAGAACTGTTTAAATTTTTACTGAAAAGAATCATCGAAACTACCATTCATTCGCAACGACATTAAATCGATGAAGTACTCACCTCAATACTGTAGGACTTCTTGATCGCGAACATTTCACGGTTCTTTTGAGCTGCTGCGACTGCCATCGTGTCCGCCGTGGTGTTCTTCTTTGTAAAATCTCTTCGAGTCAGAAAGAATCGACTAATTCGTATCCCTTGGGGAATCAAGAATCGCTCTGTCTGCCTATCGGAGTTAACTCGCCGGAATGACAGTGAATGGTCGCTGAGTCTTTAATCTGAGGTTTGTCACCAACCACCGAAGTATCTCCTCGATGGATTTCCTTTATTTTCTGCTTCCAGCAATCCGACGACTTGCTACGGCTTTGCACTGCAACTTCTCTGACTCAGTCTGGACGATTAGTTCCGATCTTCGTCTGCTTCGGCTCGATGGCAACGAGAACAACGACGACGAAGACGACGACGACGTTGACGATAACAGCGGATCTCTTCTTGGTATTACTCCGCTTTGGATGAAGCGTACGAGCGAATGCGCCTACGGGGCGGATTGCCGCCGCATATAAACGTTGCCTCCCTTCACCGCCGGCTAATGTCGGGGTCAGGGGTGCCCCCACCCCACCCTCGTTTCGGGTGGTCCATCGGCTGCAGCCGCCGCCACCACCAACACCGCCGCCGCCACCACCATCGCGTCATCGCCGTTCCGACACCGCCGCTTCCACCAGTCGCGCAGACCAGCTTTTCGAATACCACGAGGTGGTTCGACGATTCCATGAATCTCGTCGGTATCTACCGAGGTTAACCCTTAGGCGACACTTACATGACTGAATCTCTCATTGATAATAGAGATTAGTTTAAAAAAAATTGCTTAATTACGTTCCACTTTTTATATAACTATATTCTAAAACATGCTACCAACAATTATTCATTCTTCAATGATTTTTATTTTTCAAATTTAGTAATTTGTATATGAAAGTTCTTGAACGTTCAGAGTCAAGTTTAATTTATTCAAATGGCTTTACTAGTTTATACGGTGTTAAAAAATGTCACTTAGAAACATTGAATTAAAGAGAGTGAAGAACGTTTAACAAAGCACTTTGAGAATGCACTTTATAGATCTTGAATATGGAGCGACTTCACTGCTGGTATAGCATAAAAAAGAACCTCATGGAAAAACTAGATGAATTGTAGTCAGGAATCGGAAGTCAATTATGCGAGGAATAAAACTGAGCAAGAATTAAAACGAGTCGGACGTATTAATTACACCGATATTTGCATAAACGACATACCTCCGTAGGTGTGGGTCCTGTATTTTATTTACTTTTTCGGTATTCTGAATTCTTTAAACAATAGATAATCAATCTGAGCGTAGATTAATTTATAAGTAACGCGAGAAAATCGCAGGAAAGCAGGAAAATCTATAAATAGCGTGCACGGTATTCACGGTGGTGAAACGTCATTTCTTGTCGAGCCAGAAGGAAATTTTCCTTGCGTCGCGTTTCCGTGTGGCCGCGTGCCGCGATCTACGTCACCAACAACGTCACTAGTGGTCGAAGGCGCGTGCGAGCATTTGGGAAGTTCCCAAGTGCGCTTAGCGAATTCCACTCCACGTCCCGATCCCTCGGGTAGACGGTTCGTTCCACTCTCGCACTCTCACTGTGAATTCCCCGAGCCCCGAGCGCGAAGTTCGCAGGAATTGATCTCGTTCCTCGGCCGACGGAAAGAAGAGGACAAAAGGGACCAGTTTCCCATTCTATCTCCAGCGGGAGCCAGTCACGTCGCCGTACTCGCGCTCGCGCTCGCGACCGATCCACCTGTACGATATACACTGACGCGTTAATCACGATCTGGATCGACGATTAAGCATTATCATCGCATTGTTACACACCTGTTCCGCGTTGACGCGATTCTGGAAATTCCAGGTGATTCCAGGTGAAACCGGAGGAAGAAACGTGACCGAAAAGCTTGTATTATCTTTTGTTTATCATAAATATATTAATTAATTAAAAATATATTGATAGATATATGTCTGTTCATAAGAAAAGGTTTAAAAGAGGAATCTTCATGTCATCTCATCTTACAGTTTATTATTTCATTTTACAACTATATTCTTTAACATGTCAATGTACATTACTTGATATCCTAGAAATGAAATGAATTAAAAAAATACAGGTGGTGGTAAGGTACTGAGAACATCGAAATATGATTATTTTTTGCAATAAATTTTAGATATTTTTATTGATAACAAACCGGAAGCTCTGGTACAGCCTTCTCTTTCTCTGTACTAATTACTCTACATTATGAATATGGAATTGCGACGATACCTTGAGTACCTGCAATGATATCATATCCACCAACGTGGCGTTGTTCTAAATAAGACGAGATCTTACTTACTTTCATCCGACAAGGCCGTTCTAACAGCACGAAAACTGTGCGGCACTTGCTCTGCGTCAGGGCGATGGGACGCGCGTAATCTAACGATTACCGAATTACCCAGTTCCATAAACCGGTCTATGCGTCTAAGTTTTCTTCCCCCTTTTCCTCCTTTTCCTCTAGGTAAATCCCACGTCAAGAAGCAGGTGCTTAACGATTCGCATATTACGAATACTTTGAGTACTTAGACAAAGGGTAAGAAAGAAATCAATGACATCGATGCAAAAAAAATAATCAGACACTAGACAATAGCTTTGTTAACTACTCCGGTGCTTTTTACATCTTCGATAAATGAGGAAGACTGTCTACATTTACCTTAGAGCACGCGTCGGTTCATTAAATTACATCATTAAATGTAATTGAAAAATGCATTTGTGAAGTACAAAGTCTTTGTAGTAGAATCACATCTGGCAATCAGTCACCTGGTTTCCATAGAAGGATAATGAACGAATCAACGAACTACGAAAAAGTTGTGGACGTGTATATTGTATGCGCAGATGTGAGTATCGAAATTCATAATGGTTTGCAATGACGATTTAACTGGACAAAGAATTGGAATGAAAGAGAATGAGTGGCATCGGTGCATCACGACGCGAAAATCGTCAACCGTGATAACAGAGAAATGTTAATTGCCTTACCGATTTTTTTTTAACACGTGCACGATGCCTTTACGAAATACACGCATACTTCATAGCGCGGTATTTCGATAATAAAAATCTGAGAAGTTTCTTAACTAGGGAAAAAGTATGTTTGTACGTTTGTAACGTGCATCTTTCTGTGACGTCTGGGCGCAAGAATGGTGTCACGCGGTGATTGTTAATGTAAGATGAAATATATTATTATATAAACTACATTATTTATGAACGATTATCATACGACGAATATAATACAGAATATAAAATACCATAAAAGGACTTATACTTTGCATATCGTTAAAAACTGATATTAAGCTGATTCGTTTACATAATATGTAAATTATTATTTTCTGTTGTACATTTTTATGTCAGTAAATGCTACAGTTGAAATTAAGTGAATATTAAAAATTTATATGTATTACATAAAATGCAATATATATCCTATTAATGATTCATCTGTTACAATCATAATTATCTGTTCTCATAATTGATTTTAATATTTTTTTTTTAATAAACGATGTAAGTATATCCTCCCTTTTTGGCAACGGCACTCTGATACCTGTTCCCACTACCTGTTTTTAGGATTCGTTTATTTTGATCTCACAAAAAATTATGGGACCAGAAGTCGATGAGGATTAATTAAATGGTATTTTAAAGGAAGTACCCAAATACGAGTATTTATTGCAAAATTACGAACAAGTCTCGTAATACGTATTTTGATTTATCCCCTCAAAAAAGGCGTACAATGAATAATGAATTAAATGAGGCTTGAATCTCCACGATAGTGAACAGAAATTTCCATGTGCCTTGTTGTTTACGTGCCACTAACTTCCATGGAAACGTCCAGGGATCCTATGAATATTTCCAGATAACTGCGAAGATAATTTTTAATTGGTCGTAGTTTTTTGCAAGAAAACAACAAGCATAGTGACTGAATAGCCTGTCCGAAAGTCTAATGACTTGCCAACTCGACGGGCATGTTTCACACCCCGAGTGTATTAATATATCTTGATGACGCAGTCAACAGGTTTCCGAAGCTGTTGCAATGATCCCTTTTCTCATTGACGCGGGGAGGCCCGGTACTCGCTCTTTCCGCTTTTTCCTGTTATTAACGTCCACCGATGACGTCCACGCAAAAATGTCGATCTTTTTTATCGTGAACTTTCCTTCTAAATCATCGAAGAATAAAAGGACGACCGGTTGGACTCGATACCTTTGAGGAAATAACGATCAAATTAATACGATCGCATGTTTCTCGAGAACACGATTATTCCCCGCTGTATTTCGTAATTTTTTTTATCACATGATTCATTTAACTCATGATTCGCGTCTCTCGGGATTACCACTGATTGATGTGTCTACGAAATACATACGTACGTGCGACACTAATTGTTTCCACGGAAGAGTGCAAAAGTTTCCTATTTCTTTCTTTCAACGCGCGGACAGGAATTACGTGAGGCCTTGATCAACGCTCCGCTGCTAGAGCACAAAGAGTTTTATTTTGTTGCACATTTCCGAAAAGCGCGTGCTCGAATATGCGTTACTGACGTTGGAACTCGCGGTATGCCTCGGAACGTTCAATTACCGAACGAGATCGCGGAAAAGCGTTTAAGGTCGTCTTAAATGCGCATAACTCATTAATTTCTTGTTTTCATTCAAAATCAAAGTCAGAATGGTAAGATCTGATTCTAGATATCTCCTGAATATCTGCAATTTATACGCTTATCGTTAACGATCCTCCTCCTACATTATCTCACCTTGTTCCAACACAAACGCTTAATCCGTTTACATTATGATTGTACAAGTAATACGACGTTCGTATTGGTTGGAAGCAAAAAATAACTTATACAATAGGTAGGGTAATTAGTTCGCTAATATGAATCGATCATCTAAGAGCGGGCCTTGAACGCGACGGAGCTATTAACACGGGGGCTCGATTATGCTAATTACACCGGTAGTAAACTCGTCCATTTGGCATTCTACTTTTAATATCCTAGCTCGATTACGTAATCACTCTAAGTACCGTTAGTTAAGCCCGTGCGCCTATTGTTAAACAACAATCAGATCTTCATTACTATTCCACATTCACAGAATCTTATCGTCTATCGTTAGAATCTTAGTCACCAATGCCTACTTAAAATTCATATAATGTAACAGAAAGATTCCGATCTCGGCATATTGTTTTCATACGACATTGCAAATCTTACTTGACTTGATATTCACTTGATGCATGCATATACTTAGGCTCGTCAAAAATTAGATGATTGTCAGATGTTTTATCAGTTTTATAATTAACATTGAAGGAAAATAGGATATAAAAAAATCTATCTGAGAATAGCTGCAGTAAATACCAATTATTAACATTAGACTAACAAATCTGCAAAGTCCTTGAAACGTAAGATTTATTAAATTTGCAAAAATTGTCACAGTTTGTATTCTAAGATTAATTCTCGTTTTCTTTTTGGTATAATTGTCGGATTTACTTCACTCAATTCTTGGAGAAATGGAAAAGTCAGGTTTCAGGGAACGTCCGAGTACTGGAAGTTTAAAACGCCAGACATATCTTCGATTCCTGATCGAATAAAAGGTTTCACTCCCCGATTACGACGATCGGCGACTATTACGGCAAACACGGGCAAGTAACTCTGCGCTCTCGCGTAATTACACGTAGAGACGTAACATGTATACACGAAGCGATACGCGATTCGAATCGCATGTGCGATAAAAATCCATACGAACGCAATACGTTCGCTACTTTGTTCCAAAGGTTGTACATTCCCGTTCACAAGTCAGCTGATTGTCAAATCGTCCGATGAATAAAACTGTATCAAGGAGCCATGAGATTTTTGGTATATACAAATAATTTCTTAATCATTTTATTAAAACAAATTGTATAAGAATTTTGTAATACTTGGGTTTTTTTTTTATTGTATTTAGAATATTGGATATCAATGAAAATTGTATGTCGAAATGAGATCTATTTCTCTTTTTCAACTTGTCTTTCTTTTAATCTTTGGGATCAAAGATTTATTTCGTATGGAACATATGCATTTTGTGTAGTATAATCGTAACTTATGAATAGGAGTGTATATTGTATATCGTGTCTATCGTAAATTACTCTCGATGCACACGTGCACGACGTATGTACGTAAGTTCACAAGGTATGAAGTAATGAGAAACATATAGGCACAAACGGTTCAAACTTGCGAGTTCAAACTGTTGGATAAGATAACAAACGACGGGGCGCAGAGCTCGTTTCGTGTTCACGTTCGGTCGCCTTTAATCGGATAAAATCTCCAATTACGCCTCTGTTGGTATCCGTAACGTGTAAGTATATCCGTTAGGCATACTTAATGTCGCCGGTTAATCCACGTCGGCATTACTATTCATTATGGAGGGTGTGTAAACCGCCGGGATTCATAAGTGGCTGATATTGAAACATATATTCGCGAAATCTATCGCGTGGATATGTAAGAGCGATCGAACCAACGAGCTGCATAATAGCGATATCGTTTAATACTCAATTGATCAACGTTCGACGTCGTCCGAGAGTTACACAAATCATGCATTTAATTCAATCGTCGCGGTTGGGCGAAGTTGACACACCAACGTTTCACGCGAAGTACATGCGGGGATCGCGTTTGACACGCGCGAACGACGAATATATTAATACGACCCGTTGATTTATAAGCATAATATATGTGTACTCAAAGTGCACGGTTTATTCATAAGCATAACTAATACAAATGGCGAGGATTGACTAATGAGCGCGCACTCCGCGGAAAGAGAGAGGTAGCGTTTTTTACGATTAGATCGGACAAAGAAACCGGTGTCGGTGTCGGTGTCGACGCGAATCGAATCGAGGCGGAACCGCATAAAAAATGCAACGAGCCCCCCGCGCTCGCGAACCAGAAACGTTATCACCTACCTAGCAGCATTCTGCGCGGAATTCTACCAGGTCTCAGTCACAAGGTCGGGAATTTGTGACATCAAGTGTTTGAGCAGGATGGCGCGTGCCCAATCGAGTATGATAATCGTTCCGTTCCGATTCCATATCGACGAATTGTATTATTAAGGAAATAAATTGACGCTCGGAATTCGGTCGCCGTTTAAAACGATTGCAGGAATCGAAAGCGAGAAAGGAAATTCCCGTACGCAGTGACGAAGGATGTATGCAAATATGTGAAACGAACGCGGAGTTTTTTAACGGAGGAAACGAAACTTTATTCACCGAATGAGGTCTGGGTGAGTTCAATGCCTCTGCCGCTCTCTTTGGAACTGACGATGACGATGGTTTGTACCGGCTTCCATGTAACCAGTGCCACATGCATCGATCGCCGCTGGACGATTACTCACGTTCGGGCGGGGCGATTAACGCGAAACAGAAAGCAAGCCGACTTCGGCCGGAACCAAACTCAAGGACCAATTATTATCCAGCGATTGGTAGGACGGATATCTAACGGTCGATTCGTTTCGCTACTGTTTGGACCGGGTTCCGTTTTAATTTCCGTCTGATCTATTCTGTTCCTTCCCTTCCTTCGTCTTCCCTTTTTACTGTCCTTTCTATGCGATTGAAAGATCTGCTTGCTGCTTGAAGTGTCTCGAGAAGTGGAGATGAGGAAGGAGGAATGAAATATTCGATTTCTTAGAATTCTTTTTAACAATTGATATTCATTACATTTAAAAAGCCTGATAATGAAGAATTCTTGTTTCTTTCATTCCCCAATTCGACAATCAACGTCATCGTCAGCCGATCTTCACCGAATTTCATTTAAAAATTATTTTCCTTATCTGTTAGAGCAATTTGCAATTCATGAAAATTCATCAGCGGAAAGGTACTTCCATAGCTGACTCTGTACCGTTTCATGGGGAAAACCCTAGAGAACTCATTCGACGCGCGTAACACAACGATATGTCTTCTTAGCGGAAGGTCGCTCCATTGGATTCTTTGTAATCTGTACTTACTTGCGTAAAGGAAAACGACGCGAGTCAACAACCCGGTGAACGTCGTAAGCAAATCTTCAATCGCTACGCGTAGACGATATTTGCATCATCCTTTCCATCGCGCTATATTTAGATATCGGCGATCTCGCAAATCTCCGCTGATTCATTCTGGCCATTCCGTATCAAGCCTTAACCGACTACTATTTTTCTAATACTATTAAAATACATATTTATTGGAATACTGATTTGAAGAGACAGAGAATATATTTCCCATCGAATTGAAAAGAATTGTGCAAGCATTCATCTCGTAGTTTTGGAGTGTTTGACGTATTTTTTATGTATAATAAAAGAAAGTAAAACTGTTAACGTACATTCTTATAAATATCAACTCTTCATCTGAACGTAATCGATTTCAGAGAGGATTCAGTATTCCTGAAATGACGGAACCCTCCTTCAGGTTAATTGCCAGCTTGTT